TGTTGTAGGGATGTTTCATGGGATGTTTCATGGGATGTTTCATGGGATGTTTCTAGAATATATAGAATCCCTAGGTTAGGCGTGGAGGATGACACCTCTAACTTACTTGGCTGACTTGTTTGTTGTTGCACGCTTGTCATCGGGGAAGAAGTGGAAGAAGCGGCAAATTGCCACGTACTTTTTCGTGGTGAAATCAGCGGCTGTGCGATTTAGTTTGGATTGTGCAGGGGTCGGAGTTTCGCTTCTGCTGCGCTATGCTGATGGTAGGCGAGCTCAGAAGTTTGCATGTGTGTCTGTGACAGGGCTTTTCCCTGCTGCAGAATTCAACACTTCGTCCCCTCCTGCCGTACGTAAAACTTCGCATGCGGACATCATCAGACATCATTTTTGTGGTGGAGAGAGGCATGTCCAATGATGCGTGGTCGGCGATAGAAACGCCGCCCACAAAGCGTGGCTTCAGCTAGGTATGTGCCCTGGACCACAATCTATCGCCCTCACCCTTTCCTGAAACAGCCCGAGTCAAAGCAGTCCTGCAAAGGTACAAGACGGGTCCACTGTTAACGGATGAGGTAGTTTAGGTCAAAAGCATGTAAAACCAGGTGTTGTCGATAAAACAATGACTGAACTTTAAGATCTAATATGACGTAGATTGATGCACGGCCTGGGGAACGGCCCTTGAGGTTGCATTTTGCTGTATTTCCACGGGCCTCTTCGGATATCCTGCCCGAGAAGCTGCGGAATGTGCTCTTACAGCTGTACACAGGCAAATCCTCCCATTCTGTGGCCCCTCTTCGACTCTACAACGCTGTGTGCCGAAGCAGGTGGCTGCAGGTCCCAGAGAACCTGGCCTCAATGTCCACCATTGTCTTTGATGCTGCTTGGTTTGATGATGCGAGACGGGACACCAAGTTGTTTAACAACTCGATTTCTGCTGAGGTCTTCACTGAGCACGACGCCGCTTGCGCAAAACTATTGCAAACAACATGTACTTTACAGAAACCTCACTCATCGTCTAGTATCATCCAGTATCATCCAGAAGCAGCGCAGCCAAGGAGCAGATCTATCATGATCTTGGTCCACAAATTTTTCATTCTTCCAGCCGGCCAATTTGAACCGGTTGGACAATGTGCTTATGTAGCAGGACCTCTGAATAGCTTCGTCGAATATGTCCACAGTCAGAGAGCAGCTGCAAAGTCAGCTGAAACGGCCAAGACATTCAACGATGAAATCGGTTTGAGGGCCTTGCACATTGTGAGCAAGTCCAGTTGCCGGTCTTTCCTTTTGATGCCGAGCAGGCAGTGCGGACAATCCGGATGTGTCAGAGGCGGGAGCCGACCTAGGATTTCGCATTGTGCAGCTGCTAGTTACTAGTTGCCAGTGAGAGACTTGAGCACGCCCGCCATGCTGCCTTGAATTGGCGCTGTGAGGGACTCGAGGCATACAACACGCTTCCCGGTGTTTGTCAGGCTGCTGGGACGGGAAAAGCACCAGGCCGCAGACGGAAGAGCCAGCATTTGCTTCATCGCCTTGGTATTGCGAGTCTTTTCTGCTGAGCATGGCTCAGCCCAGAATTTGAAGGCTTTTAGGCCCAGGCAAAGAGATGTGCCACCACCTTGGACATGCCCCAAGCAGATGGCTTACCAAAATCGTGCATCAGAGACGCGGTTGCAGCATCACGAGGTTTCATGCACTGGGTAATGTTGTGCTGAATGCAGGCGACAGGCGTAGAAGGCGTACGGCATGTAGATTTGCTGGAGCAAGTTAACCAGATCAGAGCCAACAGCAAATCTCTTCTCCATCATTTCGCTGGCAGGTGTCAAGGTGAAGACGCTCTTGGTGCGCCCCCCCTGTCATTTCGTGCCGAGAAAAGGCTCATGCGCTTTTCTTGAGATCAATGTGGCCTGAATGTCTGAAGCAGCCTTTGGACCAGATTTTATTCGGAGTTGCTCAGGAAGCATTCGCGCATTGCTAACGCTGTTAACCGTGCCAAGCATCTGGAGGGATTCTAATGAAAGCGTGCGGTCAAACGCTCCGGCTTTCGAAGCGAATCGGGGAAGTCTTTGGGCGCGAGAGAGGCTTTGAGGGAATCATATTTTGGATTGCTTTTTGGCTGTAGCCAGGTCTTCTCGCCTGGCTGCATGTTTGGTCTGGAGCATGTGGCATCGCAGAACCAGAGGCCAGATTTGAGCGCACAGGAACTTGTGTTGCTGAAGCAATCGCGTGACTCCTCTTTCTCAGGCATTCTGTCCGATGCAGCAAGGCAGGACCCTGCCTCCTCTACGCCAGCATCCAAGTCTTGGCAGTTTCTGCAGTAAAGAACACAAATCTGTCATTGTCATGGACATGATGGTCAAGCTTTGTCTCACTGCGGGTGCCAGCTGCTCAGGTGCACCTTTCCAAATCAAAGAAGCAGTCAGGATGTTAGGACTCTCTGCCATGAAGCAATGCCAAGAGGATGGTATGAAGATGTGGCGAAGCATCTCTGGTGCATTCCTGGAGTGGAGCTGGACAGGGATGCTGGACTGAAGTGCCAAGGTACTGTCGACCCCAGCTCATGGAACCGCCACGAATGCCGCTGCACGCAGCTCTGGCCCTGGCAATGCAAGCAGAGCAGCAGCCACTTCCAGTGCTCCCGCTGCTCGCGCTGCTCCTCTGAATCTTGCAAGAAGCTCAAGTTTGCTGACGGCCTAGCGGCCTAGCGGCAGAGGAAGGTTGCCAGGAGAAAGAGCCAATATCAATCGCTGACAGCGAGGCAACACGAACGACGCAGCCGTCGGCGAGAGGAAGCCCGCGGCAGGGACGAAGCTCCAGAGTCCCACGCAAATGTATCTGAAGCCAGATGCGAGGCTGCCTGACCGTTGGCTATGTTGGTCCCATGATTGCTGATTCGCAGTAAGATCAGCAACAGCAATTAACGAGTTGTATTTTCTGCATGGCTAGTTCGAGGTGTTCTGCTTAAGCTGCTGCCCTGGTAAATCCCTGTCTGGTCGAAGAGATGACATGCTCGTCGAGCACCGCCCAGGGGAACTGAAGCCTCTGGGTTCCCCACAAGAAAGACAAAAAAATGTCACAGATGCGTCGCGTGCCATGTGCTACTGGTTGCAACACGCTGTGGAATGCCGTGGACGTGGACCCTCGCTCGGCCAAAATGCGTACGAGTAGAGTGCATTCCAATGACATGTGTCATAATCCGTGGCAGATGGGCGTCCGAGATGTGGCAAAATCGCACTGCAACTCAAGCCGCGCAAAAGCGGCGCCTGAATGGTGGATGCTGAGGAGGGCCGTGAGTAATTTCAGTATCCGCTTGTCGAGAGGCCGGGCATCAGAGCGTCTGCATGTCAACCAGAAAAGGAGGATGCCAGAGATAAAACGACTCATGGATTCAACAACCAGATGGGTTTGATGCGGTAAGCAGCTGTGATTGGTAGACAGGAATCCGTGGAGAAGATTGGAAAATGATGGGATAATTGGTAGTTCTGAATATCCGACTAAATCTCTCAGTCCCTGTGGGAAGAGTTCGATGGCGTGGAAGGGATGGCACTCGAGGTCCTTCGTCAATCGACCATGGCCGAGGCCAGGCGGTGCCTGCGGCGCCTGAAATCTAAGCTTTCCCTGAAAGCGCTTTCACTTCGCTTAGGTCCAGGTCTCCAGCCCAGAAATGGTCCGTGCCCTGCAGAAGGCAAATTTGAAGGCAAAAGTGAACTTGAGTACCTGGATGTTCTGCAGGCCATTGCCAATCTTATGGTCACACAGACGTGCGCCCGACCATGACTTGGGCATCGGTATTGGTACCCTCGCTGTTGAACTCCTGCGCACAGGAAGCTGCGGGTACCGCAGAAGAACTTGGACTGAGGGGTTCTCAAACTGGGATTGCAAAGGGTCAGAGGAGATGCTCGTGCAGGATCACGAGCCTGCTTGCCCGGCCAGGACTTGCGCCGTCAAACGGTGCAGCTACGCTAAGATGTTGCAATCCTGCGCAGAGGCCTAAGGCTTTGCTGGATGCAGACTGATGTAGCCTCTCTGGCCCGGATTCGGGACACCTTGCTTTTCCTTCTAGCAATGCATCCTCGAGCCTATTTGCCCTTTTGAACCTCCGATGCTTGACACTGAGGACTCATTGCAATTGCAGCTATCGTCTGGTTGCTTTCTGTTGCTTCCGTCAGATCGTATGATCTTTGGCCCAACATTCCAAATTCGCCTATTCAAATTCAGCGATTTTTAAACTCCTTCTGTAACGTTAGTTCCAGCATATTGTGTGGTCTGCTGGGCAGCGATCTGCGATTGCTGCCACAGGCGGCTTCTGCCAGATGCCAGTGCCGCCGATCCTGCATCATTGGACCTCCGTATACCTTCGTTTCTGCATTTTTCTTCAACGGGACTCTCGTCGGGAGCCCTCCAAAATCAGGATCTTGAAAAGCCATGCAAAAACCCACCATGCAGATGGATTTTGGAGACCCCCTCAGCAGCTGCATCCCAGCCACAGTGTAAGTTTCTCCTTCTCCAGATTTTGCTTGGGCAAGCATCATGAGGTTCAGGAAGATTGCATGCTGGTCTCAGGGATCCTATGCTGGTTTTCGGCCATTTCTATCATTTCATGATGTTTTGTTCGGTTTCGTTCTTGTCCGCCATGAAATTTTGATGACTTTGTGGTTTCATGATGGTTTTACGTAGGCTCTATGCAGGTTTAAAGGATGGTTTCCGTGTCTTTATGATGATTTTTCATGTTTTTTTGGAGTGAATCGCAGTGTTATGCGGCTTGTCAGCTCAGTTTCAGGGTAGTTGCAGCGTCTCGTAGAGACTTGGGCTGGCCAGGAGGAGGGGGGCGGGCGGGTGACCCTGCACCCTGCGCGGTTCCGCAGGTGGATGCCGACGACTGCTGCACTAAAGCATGTTCCCGCAAAGCAAATGCATCAAAACCGACGGATCTGTCTAGATGGCATGTATTCCTGTTACTTACTGGAAGGTTTCAACGTCGCAACACCGAAAGATCAGGTATAACAGCACAACGTAGGTGCACATGCTTGTCGAGTGCACAGGCCATAGGACAGAACGGCCAACCACAACAGATCATTGTGGTCAAGGGTTCTGCGAACGCTTATGTTGTCTGCACATTTTCCATGAGTGCCTCAGGTTGACTCGATGAGCTGATATTGCTTGGCCGCCGTTTCAACTCACGGGCCCGTTGCAAGTGAAGTGCCAGGACGTACATGTCAGCGAAGATGCCTGCAGTGCGGCAGTACTTACACAGGCGTGGTGTGGTAAGTGCTCAGTGCTGTGCAGAATCATCTTGGCTGACCAACCATGGGCACCTAGCTGAGCCTAGCTGTCTCAGCAAGCCATGGCAGTGGTGCCTGTAACTTCAGACTGCGCGAGATCTGAACCTTGCAGTGCTGTGGCATAAAGCAGCCTGTTTGATATGTGGTGCTTGGTTTGGTCGAAGGAGCGACAAACCTGAAGTATGGCCATGGGCTCACACGAAGGGGTTTACACTTCATCAAGCGGGCAACATTGGCAACAAGTTTAATGCAACATCTGAACAATTCGCGTCCATGTTCAGCCACAGTTATCCGCGATCGTCGCGCATTAGAGTGTATGTCGATGTCGTCCTTGTCACCTTCATAGACCTGTTGGGATGTGTTTATAGCAAGAGCTCCAGGATAAATTGTCCGATCTTTTTGAGTTTGTTTCGTGACGATCAGATTGATCACAAAGAGGAGGTGCACTTGTAACGAACCACTGCCTTCAGTGCTGAGCCAGCATAGCTTGTCTCACGTTGACAGTTCTGATGCTTGCGCACAAAGTGCGAAAGATGTTGAACACTGTCATCCCCGGAAGATCCTTGAAGTGTACAGTGTGGCCACCTTCCGCAATTAGCTGAGTGAGCCTCAGCAAAATGTCCTGCTGTGGCTCCAGACATAGTCAGCAGAGCAGATGGCAGTTGAAGAGTCAGCTTCGCAGAGCATCTCTTCAGCAATCTCTGATATGACACCGCCGGTTCGAGGATCGTAGGTTCACGGGGCCATGAGGGCCCCATCCAGGGTTTGGTGCTCAGCTCTCCGTTTGCACAAGGTGTAACCGCGTTTGAAGCTGTCATGGACATTACTCTCCCGTCATCCAGGCGATACCAAACCCATCATCTTCGACAGTGTACTGCGTCTTGGACACACTTAAAGGGAGGTCTGCGCGGTTGCGACCCGGATGCATGTAGCAGCAGCAACAGCAACAACAGCAACATCCGCAGGAACCAAACTCCCCCTGTCACTGAGCGTCATTCAAGAAAGGCAGCGACACAACAGCCACATCACATCATCACCATCACGGACCCTGCAGAACTTTCTTTCAAATTCCAACCCTAAGCCCTCAACATCCTTGAAATTTGGACCCTCCAGAACTTGTCCAAATCCACACCCTAAGCCCTGATCCTGCTGATTTTTTGAATGCTTGAATGTTTTGCAAGACTTACCCCGCTGCTTTGCACGACACGTCCCAAAACATATGGGCCAAATAATAAAAATGGCAATAGTAAGAGTAGGAATAGGAGTAATAATAGTAATCATCTCCACCATCACCGTCACAATCGTCATCGTTGTCACAAAAGATCAAGCTTCCGGTTCGGTCCACACCTGGAGGGTTGAGTCTTAGACTTCGCGATCGCAGTAAAGTTTCCGCACAGTGGATGCCGCGTACTGTTGTTGGACTCTTCGAATACTTTTTTGCTGGCAGTTACGACTGCTGCTCCTTCCAGACTCTACACCAGCTCCAAATTCATCCCCACCCACGTGTGATAGTATTGATTTATGAGATCCGCGGCCCACCAAGTAATGAGTGCCAATTTATTGTTGATGGTGTTGGTCGGATTGTCAAAATTCCGAAGCTCAAGTTTCCTTCAGAGTCTTTGCCACCGGGTTGATGTTGGTGCCTAATTTCGTGCATGCTTCTATCACGTCTATCGACGCGGTGAGCATGGCGTCTCAGTCTTGAGCTACGCCCATGAAGGATGGAACAGGATGGAATTGAGCCATGTCTGGAGTCCAGTCTTGGGAACAGACCTTAAATGACCTCATTAACTTAAACGACTCAAAGTCGTGAGTACCAGTTAATCATACCTCGTAATGAATACCTCGCTGGCTTCAAGCTGGTTGTCTTGGGACAGTGCTAAATTAGGCGTAAACTCTGACGGAAAACCAGTTTTTTTTTCTCTGTGCCACTTTTCTAGGCTCGTGGCACAGATGGCGCGTGGTGAGAGTGTCTTGCGCCAAAGGTACGATACGCATATTCATGTGTAACACGAAGCAGGCAAGATTGGTCAGCCTTCTCAAGCTCTAACCCTAAAACTCTAAACCCGAAACCATCCGAAACCCTACAGTCGTGAACCCAATATAATTCCTCAACCCTAAAGAGTTTTTGCCCAGAATCCTGAGACTTCTGGTAGAGAAGAGAGTTGCTGAAGCCTTCCATGTAGCTGCTAGCACTGCTGCAGGTTCTTTTTCGACAGGTTGAATGCGCTGCAGCTTCTGCATTCTGCTTGCTATTTGCGCAAGGTTGCCAGGCTGGGCATTGCGTCAATACTAATTAAGCCTTCGGCATTGTGGCCAGTGAGCCCGCGGGATTTCCATAGATTTTGGTTTGACCTCCCAGCAGGAACAGCCGGAGATTCTGTTTGATTGAAGAGAAAGCCGAGTCTTTTCCAAGCTGGCCTCGTCAGGCGTCTCCGGTTTCGGGGAGTCACAGAAGTTTCTGATCGTATCGTCTCCACTAACGGGCCGCGGATGCCTCAGTTTGCGGACTTGCGACCCCATCGTCCAGCTGGGCAGCGGGATGTCAGGAACCTTGCAGAAAGGAACAGAAGAATGCAACCACCGAACTCTTGCTTGGTCCTCCTAAGTCAGACGAGTATTCCTTGCCATCATGACTTGATGCTATTCAGACAGCAGCACACGGCATGGCTCTTGTCCGCTTTATGTCTTGGCTTCTGATGTCATGCCTAATTTATCATGTTGTGACATTTGCCAGATGTGGCTTACTTGAAGCTTCCCTCGGATGGCTCACCAGCCATCGCAGATGGACAGGCATCATGCCTGACGCTGAATGCTGATGAATTAGCCGCACGGCATCTGGGAGGCAATGCGGACTCTTATCAAGTCTGGGTGACGGGCCGAGTCTCCTATATTAGACAGGCACGTGCAAAGGTCTTGTTCAAACGAGGGGGCCCCAATACATCAGTCAGGTTGGTCTTTCCTCAGGGCTTAGCTGTGGATGACCACAGGCAGGTTAGCATATGTTGCATTGATCGATTAGAACGCAATCCTCAACCTAGTCACACTGCAGGAAACGGCTTTTCGTGGCAGATCCCAACAAAACTGGTTTGGCCGGCTCCTCACTAGAAAGCTTAGATGTCCTGCAAAAGATGGACTATTGGTTGAGGTCATGTATCAGCTTTCATCGAACGGCGATACGTGATTGGCTAAGCGTAAGCAGAGCACGTAGAGTCGCAGGCTGCAGAACCTGTTGCCCTGATCCAGGCTCTCTGTTGGAAGTCCGAAAGAGGTGGCATCGGGCGTCCAGACTCGTGCAGATCACTTAATAGCACATATCAGTAGCATGATTGCACTTGTAGGGTGGTGCAAGTCTGTTCCGAAGCTCAAGGCTGTGGCAGTGGACGGTCTTGGCAATGTTGTGTTCTCTGACGAACCAACAAACCGTATACTCAGAGCTCAGCCCTCAATTCCTGAAAGACTCCAGGATGTTGCCTTCTCCTCACGGGTTCTGCATCTGCGTGCTTGCTTCGTTGGCTCCTAGCTTTGGTGTGTCGTAGATGTGGACAGTGCGCGCAGTACATGCCTTTGCATGCCCGATGACGGCGAAACTCTTCGCGCAGCCTGTGCTGAGCAAGTGGCGTGCAGGGACACGACCATTTCGAGCTTGGGTCTGAAGCTTGGCAAGGACTTTGGCCATGAGGCTTGTCCTGACAAGGTTTGAACTTTCTTTCGCTGGCTCACATGCTTGTTAGCTTCGCGGTTGCCCTTTGGGCCGGATGCAAATTCATCATTGCCACCTGGAGATCCAGAATGCCTCTACTGCAGCTTGAGACTGTATCTACACAAGGCTTTGTGCCCCTGTTGGCCTCGAACATGCTACAGTGTGACAGACACGGAAGCCAAAAAAGCGTTGCTGAGCGACCACACGTCTTCAGCCAAAAGCGACGCACTGAGCACCAGCCAAGCACTAGCTTCACAACCTATGCAAGCGAAAGGCATGCGCAGCTCAGGGCTTCAATCTGAGCGCAACGTGCCAGAGAGGTAAGAAAAGGGGAAAGAATGTTCGGGACCACACAAGGGAAATTTGATGAAATCTGCCAGACCACGTGAGTGGTTTCAGACGGTTGGAGGAGGGCAACAGCTGTGTCCAGGGCAACTAATTCGAGTTTGTGTCATGGTTGTCTTCAGGTATTGTTAGATGAGTCACCTGAGAAGGTAAAGTAAACTAAGCCTGGCGACGATGGTTGTGTGCAAGTTTTACAGCCGTCTAGAGTAGCAGAGAAGCTAGCAATCAGGGCGGTGAAGTAATGGGGCAGTCTTGGCCATCCCAACTTGTGTTCCCCAAATGATGTGGAATTTGGGAGTATCATGGCAATGGTTATTACGGGGGGTGCAGAGCTGTGAGAAGAAGAAGGAGGCGCAGGCAACAAAGAGAAAAGGTCTGCCCAATCATATAGCGATAGATGGAAGAGCTGCTTTCGTGTAAGCAAAATGCCGCAAACAACCGCGCGTCAGATGCGTCTGTCTTGGACCTACTTGAAGCCCCAATGATGTTCAAGAAATCTTTGCGTTGCCAGTAATGTCTGGGTTGCTGTGTGATGAAAGGAGAGGAGATCGGGATGCACGACGAGCTTTGCGTCATGCATTCCGGGATGCTTGGCCGGCCATCTGCGAATTTGGCTGGAGCATCAAGCAACTGTGCGAGTTAGATCCTGGTGACGAGCACGTTGGCTGCTTGGCGGATGTAGGTGGACAGCTCGAAGCTTTTGTTCGCAATATGTTGTTTTGGGGTGTAACAACTTCATGTTGGGGATCATGGTGGCACCAGGATACAACCATGATGGCACAATCTTCATCAAGGTGCGGGATCCGAGAACTGGTCAGTTGTACTCCTACAGCTTCATTCTGGCTACACTTCTGCACGAGCTCACTCACCTGTCATTTGAGGGCCACGGCAAGGCGCGACTGGACTGTGTGTAATTGCACTGACTAGTCTTAGACACTCTAAACATGTAAAGCCCTCGGCCATGGGTTGTTTACCTCTCGCTCCGTCAGAGCTGCGATGGCAAGTGTGCAAGATGTGGGTTGAGGATGGCTGGGTTGGTTCCAATGATCTATGAACAACCTGTGTTAGAGAAGCCTTAGTAGAAAACAGCGCGGGGTTGGGAGTAACAGCGCGCAGCTGGCAGTAACGGCGCATAGGTTGGTTTCGTTGTGACAAGAGTGCAGGTACCAATTTTCTTATTCTTTTTAGTCGTTGTCGTATCCTCTCCCAGTTCTGGTCTGATTCAGGGCCACAGCGGGAATTGTATCCTCCTCTGCCAAGACATTTGCCGCAAACTCACACGAATACCCCCGCCCCCTTGACCGAATCTGAGGGCCGTATCCCGTCGTATCCTCTCCCGATGCTGGTCTGTGATTCGAGGCCAGTTGTGGGGCGTATCCAGGTGTATCTTTTTGTATCTTCCTGTGTCCCTGCCCTGTCGAGCGGCCTAGACCGTTTGCTTGGAAGCGGGACCAGCTACTTAGACATAGCGCTGCATTCTATTGTCCGTCCGCGCCGTTACGGCCGCGCACGCGCCTTTACCGCCTTGCCCGTCCGTGCCGTTACCGCCCCGCGTTCGCGCCATTACTGCCTTGCCCGTCCGCGCCGTTACTTCCCCTGGGCTTCCGCGCTGTTACGTCTGTGGGTATTGTCTTTCCTTCTTTTGGGGCCCGGGACCTGTCCACTGGCCTCGCAGCTTTCTGGCTTCCCGGCTTCGGGCTTGAAATTCGGAGGAGCATCGTTCATTCGTGAAATCCCCACCAGAGGAAGGAAAGAAACAGGCAGCAAGGAAGGAAGGAAACAAGGAAGGTCGTCCTGAAACAACTATTCTGGTTTATCTTTTGCTGTAGCTATCATCACTGTTCTTCACATTTCTTTGCATCAACTTTGAGGGGCTTTCGTTGTTCATTATGTTCTATCACGATTTCATCGTAAATTTCAGCATTTCCATCTTTTTTCGTCGCTTGCATCATTTTTGATATTCGTCAGCGTTAGAAATACCATGCTTCATTCAAGTGTTTTGTCATATGTTCTTCATAGTTCGTCATGTTTCATTATTGTTCATCATTTTCAGCATATTTCATCAGATTTCATCCTTCTTGTTATTTGTTCTTGATAGTTCGTCATGTTCCATCATGTTTCATCACTTCCATGATTTTCGGCAAGCACTCATCCTTGATCATCATCTTGCTCGTCTTTAATTTTCTCTCATCATCTTTCCTTCATCACATCTCATCTTTCACAACATTGTACCAGACCATCTTCGTCACTTTGTATCATTCTCATCATCTTTCGTCACTTTCATCACGTGCACCCTTTTTTCATAAAATTTTATCACCCTTCATACTTTTATCACACTCCGTGAGTTTTTCTCATCTTCAGCATGTGCCATCAATGCTCATTAGATTTTAATCAAGAGTTCGTCATGTTTCTTCGTATTTCATAATGTTTGATTGATCATTTTCATCTTCAGACTTCTTCATGATGTTTATCAATGTTCACCGTTTTTCATCACATGTTTTCGTGTTCATCATCTTCAGCCTGGTTCATTTACTTCCACATGTCATGCTTTTGTGCTTCTTTTCTTCGTAGTTTATCTTGTTTCATCACTATTTATAATATCATGCTTGCCTCTGTTTCTTTCATATAAATGAGAAATCAGCTTCATGATTTTCATGTTTTCAGCTTTCATCATATTTCCTCATTTTCATCATCAGCTGTCATTGGTTTGCCAAGGGTACAAAGGTCAGATGCATAGGTTCCCGTTTCTTTGACGATAGCTTCTTATCATTACCCCGTCCAAGCGAAAGAAGCACACAGCCTGACCCTCGTCCAAGTTTTGTAAGGGGGCTGTGCATTACGCATCCATCCACCCGCTGTTGTTTTACAAAACATACGTGCGCGAGCACCTGCCATTATACTTCATCGTTTGTCACCCGTTCTTGTCATGCTTGATTGTTTTTGATTCCTTTTCCAACATTTCATAATGTTTCATGATCCTCCGTCATGTCCATGATATGTCATCATTTTTCAGTAGTTGCGTCATTTCTCCTAATTTTTCTCTTTTGAAGCAGTATTCATCGTTTATCATCATGTAGCATGATTTTCATCATGTCATCATTTTCATGAGGTTTCATTATTATCTTTTTCAATATTTGCGCATTTTTGCCTCATCTTCCATCATGTGCCGTCATTCCTAACAATTGCCCCGTTTGCAAACCCTTGTGATTATTGAATTTCATGTTTCAGATATGCATGCGTACATGCATACAGACATACATACACATACACGTACACACACGTACACATACACATGCACATGCACATGCACATGCACATGCACATATGCACTAATGCGGATTTACTGTAGCAATATTCCTTCAACGTCATCAAAGTATTATTGTGGTTGTATGAGTGTCATCGTTGTTATTTCTCTTCTGGCCTTTATCATTATGCGGTTGTTCTTCTGACGTTTGTGTATCATTATGAATGTCAGATCATTGCCCCCCACCACCAATACAAGCCATAGTACAATTGTGTGGTTTTTAAGTGTTGGAAGGCAAGGACGACCTGTGACTGTTGACACCTTTATACAATACGGAATGAGGGCACGAGGGTCCAAAGCCACGACACTCACATGAAGATGTCGACCGCCAGAGCCCCCATCACTGTTGTCCTCAAGTAAGCAAGTGCAAGCAAGAGGGGTAAAGTGCCCCCGGCCGCAAGCCAAGGCAACCTTGAAGCCGGTCAAGGGCAAGTGCTAATGTCAGCATCGCAGCATGGCATGAAAGACTTGCAGGCGTTTTACAGACGCCTGGCGCTTGCTTCCATCGCCTGTGGGGCAGATGCTTCCATCCGACGAGAGGCTCACGCCATAGCATCGCTCATCTCGTTTGGCCGAATTTATGAGTAGGAGAGCGTTTGGAAATGTTTCGTTGCAGCAACTGCCTGTTGGGAGGACTCAGCATAATCCTCATAACATTGTATAGCTTCCCCGTAGTTTCCAAAACCTTCCTTGAGCATGGAATCGAGGCTTCCAATGAATCAAATATTGAGTACAGGTTTGAATTTAGAAGGTGTATGGTTCAGTCTTGCCCTTGGGCAATAGTTGCATGTGCATCCACGCGTGTGCCCTATCTCGGAGTAATGCGGAACGTGCATGCAGTCTTTGCTTGTTCAGCAACGATGTAGGATAGGCCGCAAGCTCTCGGCACTCGTACTGGCGCTACTTTCCCGGTAAGATGTTCTAGGCCCAAACAGCCAATGTAGAAAGCACGGCTGAGCACGAACCACTACAGTCTAGCAGTATTCAGGCCTGCCAGCTTCCTCAGCTGTTCAGGTGCACAGCCACATTTGCTCCGAGCTCCTCAACGCCGTTTGTGAGAACGATGCTCGTCGAGCTAGAGCACTGCTGACAATCTTGCCAGAGGCTTCTGACGGCATGAAATGCTGACGCTCATGAATGACCGTTTGGAGATATTTGGATTGGAGCTCAAAAGCAGGGGTGGCTACCGTTACAGGAACAGGTCTCAAAGAAGGTAAGTGTGTGGGAACTGGCTGTAGGACCCGAACAGCTCTCTTCCAACGGTTGCGAAGCGCAAGCGGCAAAAGTCACCTGTCCTGCTGCCAGACTGCAGCGATGGACGGCAGCGTATTTCGCAAGTTGCAAGTTCCTAGAAGCCAGGCAGCCAGATGTCGGCCGTTGCACGGTGGTCAATTCCCCCTTGAATACGCAGCGCACCACGGTCGAGTGGCGCTGACGAAGCTTCTCTTGGAGGTGATGCGGGAAGTGCTGTCACCTCATGTTGCCCATCCAATGCTAGGAAGCTTGAGAGGGTAACAGGTCCAACAGGTCTGAATCTTGGCTGCCCTAGTGAACATAGTAGGTTGCCTCAGCCACAGGCACGGGCTGATCCCAACGTCTACGGTCGGGAGGCCATGTTATGCCGTGTGCCCTTGTACTTGTATAACGAACCCCGTGAGCCATTGGACTTGTAGTTGGAAGCTGAAAGTGCCTAAGCAAATGCATGCAAGTGAAACTTAGCATGATTTCATAGGCCCATAGGCTCGGAGGTGGTGCGATGCACAGGCTGAGCGGCTGGCAGCTTCGCTTAAAGCTTCAGCCTCATCAAGTTCTCATGATCATGATCCCACCCATACAAATCCCCGTGTTTCGTGGTTGGAGTCTCGACAGGCTTGGTTTCTGTAAGCAGCAGCATCTGGGGGCAAGCAGCAGCCATCATGTAAGCCCTCCAACCCGCCGTACTGTGCAAGAATGGGAGAGGTGTCAGAGTTGCAGGTTGTTTTTGACAGTCTCATTTATGGCTTGTTATCTAAAGTCTTCCTTGCCCTTCAGCTCTTGACCGAATACCGAAGTTGAGCGAAGTTAATAGGTTGGGATGCCTCCAGTGGCGCGCGCAGCTGCAAAGGGCAACGTCAAGGTCGGGTAGCGCACGACGTCCCACACAGAATTTCGCTACATCATCAACCATCAGCAGAGAGTGTTCTTCTGTGAAGCACATGAGCTGTGTCCTTTCAACATTGCGCCCAGACCGTCCGACTGCTACTGCAAGCTGGGGCTCGTGGTGTTTCATGGCTTCCGCCTGAATTGCAACCAGTTCAACATAGCCGCAAGAGCAGTGAGTACTTGGAGAAGGAGGCCAGGCTTCGGTATGCAGCCTCAGTCTCCACGTCATGGTTTAGCTTGTTTTTCAACGGGATGCGCACATTGCTGACGCATTTGTCGACGGAGATGGGCCACAGGATATCAGGGTGTCAAGGGGCTTTCCGTGCCGATGTCTAGATTTGTAGATTCGGAATTTTGGCAGAGAGGATTTTCTCAACTCTCGCTGGGTGTGCACGAGGGGTAGCAAGTTTCTGCAAGTCGCTGCAGATGGCAAGCTGGTAAGGCACCCCAAAGGAATTTTTGGTTGCAATTGTTCTGTCCGGGAGGTCTGCAGAACCTTCTCGCTTCCCGTGCTGCCCGGCAAGGGGAGCGAGGTGAGGAAAGTGGCCGTTGGAGGAGCTGGCTCCCTTTCCCTGTAGCATTGTGGCATGGTGAATTTATTGCAGAAAGCGGCCCCCCATGCAAGGCCTCCTCAAATAGTTCTTCGTGGTGGACGTCAAACGGCACACCGTTTCACACCCTTAGAAGCATTGCATGAGCGATGTTCTAAAAAAGACGTATTCTCTGTCTGCAGCTTCAAACCGTGCAAAGAAGGCGAGCTCAAGCAAGCTCACCCTTAATGTAGTTAGTATTTGGAAAATGACCCAAATGGCTTAAGTTAACGGTTGTATTTGAAGTGCCAGATGTTGCACAGTTAATCAAAGCAAAGGTCGCTGCTGCGAGCATTGATGAGGGCAAGACATCCCCGGAGTCCCTCAGCGCAACAAAGTTCACCCAACCACTGCCTTTACGCAGCTCGCTTTGCGAAGGGTTATCTATGACGGCAGCGCAGTGTCCCACTTGAAGGCACCAGGAGGCCAACGCGATTTTCATCATTGCCAATCATGCTTTGATGGTCTTTTGTGCCTGCAACCTGGCAGGCGTTGCAATGGACAACTACTTCGTCTATTGGTTAAATAAAGCCGGAGCGCCAAAGGTTCCACCTCCTACTTCCGAGATTGCAGATTGGCAGTTTTGTGCGGACTGTTGACCTACTTGATTGACAATGATTGACAACAGTATTCATGCAGGGACCGACTTGATTCGACTGACTCCGAGCTTTGGATTCCTCGAGGATCAACTGCGACCCAGCCGATTTCACTTCCCCCTATCGCTCTTTGCGCCTCCCATATCATCTTCCTTCCGGCATCTTGCCTCCCACCCGATACAGTGGAAGGTCGGGGTGGGACTTGAGCCACCAAGGAGGTCCCTCACCTTAGCCTTAGCCCGAGCCTTCATTGTGGGGCATGGAGCTTTCACGAGATCGCCCATCCGATTCGATCTCGTTTATGATGGGCCTTCGGGCTGGCGCGGCTTGAGTTTTCAATATTTTTCAATAAGATAGCTTGAATTCGACGTAGCGAGATCTGTGGCAATGTCAGTAACTTCAGGGGAGGAACTCGTGATTACATGTATTTGGCGGCGTTCCATACAAGAAGTGTAGTGGAAGGATGGGCGTGGGACATCTTGCAAAGCCAAATCACAAGCCTCAACCTGAGAAAGGAAAGCCAGGAAGTAAAACGCATTCATTCCGTTGATGCAGAAACTGGGCGTGGTTATGCTTCCTGGGGCACAGCGGGAACAGCTTGCGGGCCGCTGTGCTGGGACATCTGTCCTGGAAGTCAAGTTTGCCTTTACACCACCATTCTGGTGGAGTCAGCGGCAGAGCGAGTCGGAACCGTCGCAAGAGAAGGACCCGGAACTCTTCGTTCGGGATTATGAGATCTAACCGGCTGGGGGACAGCAGCACTCGGGATGCGGGGTCCAAATCTGAAAAAAGCATCTCGAAGGCGCTCTTGTCCACAGTGGCTCCGGCACCGTTTTGCAAACCCCGCCTTGTTTGCATCGGGGGCGCGTCGTCCCCGCGGTGAGCACGGGGGTAACCCCCTCGAACTAGTGCTGCCCAAGTCGGCACTTGGAAGCCTAGGTAGTCCGGCATTGTCATGAGAGCTAGCATAGCCATGCTTGAGTCGTGTCATGCTCTGGAAGTAGTAGTGGCAGACAAGGTCTGGGAAGCAGCGAACCATAAATGCAGCCTGGGTGGAGTGGGGTGGTGGAGGAGGAGTATGAGAAGGACGAGGAGGAGGGGGAAGATCGAAATTGGTACATCGATATTTGTAGCGGGAGGAGATCTACTCATAGATCCGTTTATGCCAGTTTATGCGTTTCTTGACTCACACTTAGTCTGCTCACTATGTTTGCATGGTCATGGTACGAGCGATATCATGCTTGGTGGCTGCATCACACCTCCATTAGTCATGGTACGAATAACATCATGCTTGGTGGTTGCATTGACAATCGCTCCCGCTGTGCAAGACTTGGCTGGCTTTGCTTGGCCTTGCCACGCCCATCTAGTGGGAGGTGGCCAACAGCGTATAGGATGCAAGTACCTGGCATCTGCAGGCAGGCACTCTGATCAGAGGCTTGCAATACGCAACGGTCCCGAGCTCGGAGCTTTTCCGAAAGCTGCCAATTCCCTCCCGGGCTGGCGGGCTGGCTAGCATGGGCTTGACATTTCGTTGGAAATGGGAGAGGGAAATGCTCATGATGTGCCATTTATGAGGCAGAAACAATTCGCAATGCTTCAGCGGGCGTCAAGGACAGGGAAAGAAGCTGGCTGAGATCAGTTGAGTGGTTGGTTCCTGTGCGATTGTTTGTTAAGTTCGCAGGTAGATTAAGGATCCCTTGCAAGTGTGCTGGTGATTGGCAGTTGCTGGCTGAAAACGCACCGAAATGCTATGGAGTTTGTCTCGCTGGAGGCACAGTACAAGTGTGCAGGAAGTTGCTAAAACAGATGCGTGGACAGACGTGAACTTCCGTTTGTCAGTCGTTGCTTGCTGAAGGGAATATCTTCTATACGGATGAGGCATCGCACTTGAGTGGACCTCAGTAGTCCTGGTTAGGTCCGGTTTAGGATTTCTTGCTCTCAGTTTGTCACACGGCTGAATGTAAGGTACGGCATAAATCGAGCTTCCACCTCGCGGCATGTTGCGCGCACCATCTCCTCCAGCTTGCAGGTGGTGCCGTTTAAAAAGGAACCCTGAGGACAAACTGACCTTGATTTTGCCCTCGTGAGGCACCGCGCGGGTGTGTGTCTGATGGCGCGGGTACAGTTTATGTCCGAGACGTAGCCTTTCTGGAATTGGTTCAGAAGCGGTGCTGTCGGAGTGGCCTAGCAGCGTGGAATTTTGAATTCTTGGAGAGGTCGCAGATAAATCGCAGAATGCAGTCTTCCGCTTCGCTGCGAACATGGACATCCTCATGCCCAGGCCGATGGTGAAGGCTGGCATATGTGTGCTAGCATGGCCTTGCTTTGTGTCAACCTGGGTTATGTCTCGTTGAGCAGCACATGTGTCAGATCACTGTCTTGTTGAACCTGGCATCCAACTTTCTTGACCCAAGAATCGCTTCGTCGTTAACCTGTCCCAGCTGCACTCATCCTCCCAGGCAAACCTTCATCATCCTTCATTATCAATGTGAGCGCAGGGTGCGCAGGTGTCTGCTCATGTCTGCTCAACGCTGTGGGAAGCCATGCGGCGTCAGTCGACGACCACGAGTCCCAGCACTACAACTACAGTAATTCATGCAGCATTAATCGTGCCACATTGCGGAGCATTAATCGTGCCACATTGCGGGATCCTAGATAGTGCAATTCATTGCTCGCGGACTGCGCTGGAATCAGACATGGCGCTGGCCAATGTTGAAGGTGTCTGCCAGAAGAGAACCTTTAAGCGCTAAACATGCAGCGTTTTTTGGCCTGCTTGCAATGGGCTGCAAAAACAAGTATCAACATCAGAAGGTGGGGCGGCAGAACGGGCTTGAGTCTCCAGATTCCTGTTGCAGGCAACAGCTACAGGGTTCTCGAGGCCTATGGCCTCCCGTCAGCCTCGGGACCCCAAGCGGAGAGGAGACCTGCCATACATCTGCCTGCATTGCTGCAGAGCAACAATGGAGCCCTGGGCCCAGGCCATTTGGACACCCATGTTCCAGGAGCTGAAAAAAAGTGTAAGGGCACCATAACGCACCCATGAGGTGAGGACCTTCACACATTTCCCTGATTGGGGCAAGGAGACGTTTAAAGCACTTGCGCACCTAGAAAGACCCGCAGCGCACTACACGGCCAAGCATGCCAAGCCCAAGTTGTGGCTGAAACGCGGTTGCTGTCGATCGATGCGTGAAGGTTGTGCCTGCGGAATGCAGTTTGTTGTCGATGTGACTGCCCAAGCCTGGCGGTCGGATTCGAAGCACTTTTCTCGTGTGGCAGCTGATGCCCATATTTGCCGGGTTCGCAGTCCATCTTGAAGGTCACAAAAAGTAACTTTTCTGGGGGTAGTATGCAGGAGAGCGGTCTAGCACAGTTGCAACTGACCTCTGAAAGCACCAGAAACGGCTGTTCCAACACGGCTGCGTCGCAGATTTTGCAGTTGCTGGAGCATTGTCAGAGGCTGCAGAACTGCAGGGGGCTTTCGGACTGGCAATCCATGATGTGGCCGGGACCTCGTCACAGTTTGTTGGCAGCTGGTTGCCGCATGCTTGAATGTTTGGCCCTTGTAGCTACTTGCAGCCACTGACAGGGATATCAAGGTCCTGGACTTCTACGATGAGTAGGGTACTGGTGCTTTGCCTAATTGCAGCTGTTGCTTTCAGCCTTGGAAAAGTGGTAGGTTCTCCTGCTTGCATGCGATTCCGATGCCACTCTGCAAGCGTTGCACCCGAAGTCTGAGTTGTCCATGCTCATTTAGCTTGTAGCCTGTGAGCGTCAGGATGCACAACTTATCAATCCCGTTCACGCACAACTCACACACTCACTTGATTTCCATTTCCTGTTGGTCAGATAGTATCAGCATGTATCAGCTATCTAGTACATGGTTGCGGCTACAAGTGGTCTTCAGCTGGAGGACATCTGATGGCAAAGTCCTCGGGCACTGGACAAAGGCTGAATGTGACTGTTTTTCCTTTTGAGCTCACCAGGCGCCTGTAGGTGGCATCCGAAGCCAGACCGCCGGAAGCGCAGTACGGAAGCGCAGCACGGCGTACGAAGTTTGCTAGAGTTTCGTCTCAACTTCTGCCAAGGCACGGACATGCGTGGTACAAGTTTTCGGGACATCAGAGGCAGGCCAGTAGTTCAATGGGTGTTGTCACAATGTCCTTTCCGGCAGGAGATTGAAATTCCTGTCACTATAAGCACCCGAGTGGCAGCCTTGAGCCAGGGGTGATTCTTATTCGGCTTGTTCAAGTTGCTACGGTCTCAAGTCGTCTCGCCCAGACATCGGTGGTGAAAGAATTGATCTCGCAAAAGCCCATCCGCCAAGAGTTTCTGTGCAATTCTGTGCACTTCTGTGCCTTGTGCATATGTCATGCCTGGGTTGGTGAGAGCACTGAGGACTGGAGTCCATGTGGATGACTTGAAGATCATGGCCAAAGCTGGGTCCTTCATGAGGATCCTGAGAGACACCGATGAGGCCGACGAAAGATGTTGCGTGCAGTGCCTGCAGCCTGACAGTTAAAGCATGTTGAAGCGTTTTAACATGTTTTAACCGTTTCACACAGGTCCGAAGCAGAGTGGTTGTCAAAGGCCCAGCCTTGGGAAGACGTGGTCGCTGAAGCCAGCTGCAACCCACCAGGCGTGGAGAGCCTGGAACCCAAAACGCTGGCCGACCAACAGTGAAGCCACGGCTTCAGAATTTGCCGCTTCTGCCTGCCATGGCAATGTCCAGGCTGATGGGCTGAAGGATGAGAGACAAAGGCTGCAAAAGGTTCCAGTGGACTGAAGTTTGTAGGTGTGTGGGCTCCTTTTCTTCGGGCATCCTGCCATCCTGCAAAGTAGGAAGCTTCTGAGCCACCATCTGCCAGTTTTGTAGATCATCTTTCATTCTCAGCTCCTCGTCCTAATCTTACTTTTTCTGACCGTTGTTGATGTATGCTTCGTCAGGCGGTTACAATGTAGGCTCTTCGACCTCCCAACCCCCCCCCCCTCTCGCCACCCCTTCGCGAGGGGTGTTGGGCTGGATGAATTTCCTTCAGCCCAGCGTTGCAAAAAGGTTTGTTTTTCCCGCCAGCATTTTTTCTCCTCCCGTTTTCGCTGCTGGGCTTGGCACAGCTATTCAAGCCTTTGAAGGTGGACATCTATCGTGGTCAATCGGCAGTTATCTCGACATTTCTGAATCCAACTCCTCAATCGCGAGCTTTTGTATTCCAGGCTGCAGCCAACTGATATTGCTACCCCCATTCATGCTCACATGAGCTTATAGTCTAAACTCCTAGTATCCCCCTTACTAACCCGTATTATAGTCCCCTATATCATTTCATATAATTTCTGACATGATTCCGTTTCAAGAGTTTAGACTATAACTCACATAGTCATCCAGGGGTTGCCGTTGTGTCTCGTGATCGGAAGTTTGGCTTCCTTGATGCTCTTCGATGTTACTGGGCTGTGTCGGCAGTGGCAAGAGGTTGCCTTCAGCTTGTCGGTCAAGGTCATCTGCGCACACGGCTGGCAAGCAGCTGGTCAGCTCACATTCAGGTGATTGTGGTGCACCAGCGCGAAGTCCTGTCTTGCCTAACGGGGTCTGGATGAATCCAGTTCTGTGCCCTGCAAGGGGCAAAAAGCCTTCTCCTCACATTTTGCTTCCCAGGCGGCAGGACAACTACAGAGCCAAGTAGCCTTTGTCGCCCCCAAAAGTCCGGCCATGGATTTGTTGCTTCTGCCAGTCCTCGATCTGAGCCACTGAGTGGATCTGCCCGCCCTTGATGTACATGCAAGTTCAAACTGCACTGCAGCCAGATCACCTCTACCATTTGCACTCACGTGTGTTGATTGATGCCAATTAGATACGAAATTACCAATTGAATGCAGCGCACAGGCTGATGTCTTAGTACGAAAATGGAACCACTGTGGGAATCATCAGCATGCTCCGTTAAATAGAACTCAGAAGCTTAAGATGCAGTTATAACAACAAGTTGCGTTGTGGTGTATAAACAATCCACCTTATGTAAGCATTGCAAAGAAAGGTCAGAGAATGTAAGCGATTTCCAACTCCGGGGCAGTAATGCATGTGTCATTTCCAGAGCAAACCGCTGTGCAGAGGCATGGGTGTGTATGTTGTTGTCCTTCAGCAGACATTTGGCAGCCGCCCATGAATTCGCAGAAAGTGCGCCGCTACCTCACCACCACCTGTCACAGGCAGGACAGTAGCTGAAGTGTTTGAAAGGAGGAAGGGCAGAGACCCTTGATTTCGAGCCATTGGATCCTGTGCAGGCTGAGATGTAGCCAAGCTGCTGGCAAGAGCTGGGAGAGGCTACCTGCACAGCACCCCCCTCCATCGTGCCAGCCTGCCAAGCTGGAGGCCGTTGTGGTCGCAACGCCCGAGACCCCATGGCTTGCGGCAGTAGGCCGTGGCGCCATGCATTTTGCTTCTGGTTGTTTAATTTTTGGCAGCAGGGTGCTTAATGAGAAGCATCAGCGGCATGCAGCACAAGCCAGGAATGGAGCTTGACCTGGAAACACTTCATTCGGTGGACTTGGTGACATCAGCTACCTTGTGGAGCTCAGTGGCTTGGCTTTACTGATGACAGAGGAGAGTGTTGGTTCCAGATAGATGGTTGCCAGCTTGCAAAGCTTGCATTCGGATCTGGCTAATGGCTTTCAGAATGCCCTTGAGCCGCTGCAGAAAGGCTTCGACTGCACAAGATTCGGACGACTCCCTGGCACCGTTGGAAGCAACGAGCATCGTTCCTGAAATGCAAAAGACGGCAGGCCTGCCACCAGGCACAGAGCCACGTGAAGATGCCGAGTCCTGAAGAGCGCTTGGCTGCTCCCAGACCCCTGGCCAGCAGCCAAGAAAAGTAAAAGAAAAGGGAAAGGTGAAAAGGTGAGAATTTTTTTTTCTCTTTCTGCTTTTCAAAAGCTCCTTTCCTCTCCTTTCTGAGGCCATGGCCACGGCACCAGAGGCGCGGGGCTCTCACAGAGAGCACAGCGTTGAAGGGCCCTTTTCCGAACTTTCCTTCCGGAGGGCGACAAAGGCAAATCTGGCCCAGCTGTGGGAGCCTCGCTTTTGATGGGCAGTAGGTGATCGTTTGCATTGGCGACGGCTGACGGCTCCGTGCGTACACGAGGCCTTGACCTTGCAACTTGCATCAGATGCCCGTGCCCTTCTTACCGCGCTGCGCGCCGATCAGCAGGCGCTTGAGTGTGGCAGGAAGTCTTGCGGACAATTGACAATTGCGGGCAATTGCGGACGTCTTGAGATTGTCTCATAGGTTCGAAGGCAAGCGCGGCAAAG